GAACGTGTTAAAAAAGTGTTTATAAGTGAAAATTTTTATCTATACATACGAATATGTATACACGTATTCTCGACTCTTGGAACGCAAATCGCATCGCGTTAATCGCAAATCAAAGAAAATCCAATCGTGATAAAGAAAAACGCTCTCTGCGGTTACTGGAACACGCTTTGTCACGCTTGCTGAACGACGAGAAAAAATCGTAAGACGAGCTACTGGACGACGGGGGGGAGTGGGGGCCGGTAACCAAGCCACGGTGAAATTCAAACCGATGAGCGATCTTTGCTTTCTAGCCACTGGAATACGCAGAGCAACAAAAAGGAGGATCATTCGCCGGTGAAAGATGATCCTCCATCGGAACCAACACCGAAAGCTAAGCTGCTACTGCCAGAGCTTCACGAATGTGTCAAATCCTTAAGTATAATCAGCGAACGTACGTGTATCGTAATCGATTGCGTGCTTTCTCTTCCACGCTGAGTCATTTCCACCCCCCCCCCCACCTTCCTACCCAAATTAAAAATCAAACGAAAAAAAACCCGTCGCGACAAGAAATCGACATTTCGTTAATAACGAAAGAAAAAATAAAAACGCACAAGCGGAGAGGATTCTTACCAATACGTCGTAACAGATTTCACGTAGCTCCTTCTCGACCTTTTCCCTATACTCCTTGGCCATCTGCTGTTTGCGCTCGGAACCTTCGGTTTTCTGTTCAATGGAGGAGATGACTCGCCACGAGCTACGTCTAGCGCCAACGACATTCTTGTACGCTACAGACAACAAGTTCCTCTCCTCGTTCGATAACTCGACTCCCGTTTCGGTAACTGCTTTCATCGCGGCTGCCATATCATCGTACCTCTCTGCCTGCTCGGCGAGTTTTGCACGCTGTACCAATTCCTCTTTATCGACGGACATTGTGTCGGCTAGAAAACAAAAATCCTGATGTGAGAATCGACGAATCGGGAATATCGGTATATATTTTCGGCGGATGAAGAGGCAAAGGACGGTGAAAGGAGAGAAGGAATGATGCACATCGACACGAACGTAACACGGACGACGGCAACGCGCGGCGTTCAATGTCACCGAGTTTGTTTTCTCATCTATCCAGGAGTTGCCAGTGGCCCGCGCGTGAGAATAGATTTCTCACCGACGCGTTTAGAACGTAGAACGATGACGTGCAACGACGAGTTGGGTGCGCGCGCGTTAGATTCAAACGCGTGACTGGTCTCAACGCAGATCACACAATCTTCTTCTTCTTCTTTCGAAAGCAACCGGGGGACAATCTCTTTCTCAAAACTACGCGCGAGTATAGAGATATTTCGAGAGCGCGATTACATTTTCTTTTGGTTTCGTCAGTCAGTCGATCGTTAGCAACCGATTTATCTGAAAGAAAAGCTTGGTCTTTCTCAGCCTTGACCACGAAACGTCGCACACGCCAATTTCATTCTAAAGAAAGCACTCTTACGTTACGAAGTCGAATCGAATGGAATGCGACGATCAACGACCAATACGATCATGTTGCATATAAAACTTCTTTCAAATTGAAAATTCTAACTTCCGGTATTTTGGGCCATTTTTAATAGGTTATCCATTTAACTAATAAATTATTCAAAAGGTGTCGTCCATCATTTCTCTTTCCTAACCTCTTGCGCTGATAATTTGGTTCACGGACCATAACGAGTGACTGTATACAATAATACGTCGCTCTCTTTTTGAACTCGTCGGTGTGATATCACTGGATAGAAATTATTACTAAGTAATAAATTTATTATTTGTTGTCTGGGTTATCTTTCAATATATACTTAAAACTGAGAAAACATAGCAATTTTGGGAGAAAAAATGCGTGACAGAAGTTGAGCGAAAAAAGCGATGGAATGTTGCAATATCAGATTGTCACATGGTAACAAGCTTCTATTCTGTCTTTATTAATTGCGCATATATTTGATTGATTTTTAATTCATTACGTAAAACAATCGATCGCTAGGGAGATTCCGCATAGGTGAAAAGAAGCGAAACTTTCCTCCATGCAACGACAGTTTCACTAACGTAGATATAATCGAATGGTAACGATGAGTCACTGCATCGGACCGTGTTACAACACCAAACCCGTAGTAGGCACACATTCTAAACATCTCGACTCCTTTTAAACACGCCTCACGACGACGACCGTTTTGTCGACCGTGCGCGCGCGTACACGCTTCCAAGTCCTCACTTTCATAATTTTTTTTTTTTACGCGTTGCAAGTCTTCAATCTCGACTGCTGGTCAAGAGCAACGGTCTTTAAACACACACACGTACACGGTCGGTAAACGCAATCGAGTACGATTAAAAGCAACGTGAGTCCGTCGTAGTATCGGCACAACGTTTTCACATTTAACTTAATCACGTATGACGTCCGATCCTCTTCCAGTGAATCATGACTGTCTGTGTAAAGAAGATCGCAATGTAACGAGCAAAGCCTGTAAACACGTTCACGCGTATCCGGTGATTTAAAAAAAAAAAAAAAAAAAAAAAAAACGGTAATGAATTACGGACTACATCGGAAGCGATGTATTGTCATTCATCATTTTACTACGTGCATTTGACTCCATTTTCTATTCGCTTTCGGTATCGACTATCCTTCTTTCTCTTTTCTCGCGCGTACAGACGACGCGCAAACTCCGTGCGATTCGTTTCAAAGATTTCCGAATATCTCGGGAAAGTCTCTCAATTCGAATAAAAAAATTGTAATATAACAACCGTTTGCGTTATCGAACCAGCGAATTAAACATTTGATGATCCTATTTTGTTGCTAATTTGTACAAATATATATATATATATATATAATGTAACACTCTTATATAGGGTGGGCCAAAAATTACTTCCTACTAAAATAATAAATAATAATAAAAGAAATAATTTTTTTTAAAAACATAATGAAAAAATCACGTTTGAACTTAAATTTAACTTGAAATTAGTTTTGCTCTCATTCCTCATATTTTGATGTTTTATTTAAAAAAAAAAGTAGGTGGGAAGAAACTTTTAGTCCACCTTGTATATTGATGTTAATATAACATTATAATATTATATGTAACGTTACTCATAGCATAATAGAAAAAGAAGAGAAGAGCTTGGAATTGTTACAAAAAAAGAGGGGGGGAAGGGAGTAAAACGCCATTTTTATTTTACTCACAGGCGCATGCTGGAATATTACTAATATAACTACATCGTGTTCAAAGTAGGTAATTTTAAAAGCTGAAACGCGGCGATCGATTTCACGTGTGCGCGGTATACTCGTTATTAATTCCTCAAGCGAAATGCATACTGTTCCATTTAAAGAAGCAGCGAGCACAACACAGCGTTTTATGTACGAAGTTGGTGAACTTTTATTATGTCACTGCGTAGCTACCAAGTTACTACGATTAATCGTGAAATAACGCGTACGTGCATATTTTCCATAATTCGTGTATATAATTTACAATTTTTACAAATATACGTTTCCAAATTTACAAAAATACGTTTCAAGTTTGGAAAGCAGCGCTTTCGAAATTTCCCCTCTTTTAATCGTCCTAATTACACAGAAATTGACGCACGACGTTACGTATCGAGTTGTTGAGAGCAAATATCGCAAACAAAAAAAGATGCTCTTTTCTCTAGAGATTCGTATAAGGTAACGAAAAGATTAGACATGACTTTCGGCTTGTGACATTTCATCGTGAACTGTTACACAGAATGAAACCACACCGTGGAAAAAAAACTATACATTGTTCGTACAGTGTTGAAGAAAACGTATGTAAATCACGGTGCGAGATGCGCGTTCATCGAACGTCGTTTCTCGCGTCACATGCAAGAGTGTTTGGTTAAAATTACGTGCGAGACTGCAAGCATGATTATTAAGCGAATCGATCATTCGATTATGTCGGAGCAAGAAGGTGCGCATCGATCGAGTTGAACTCGAAAATTTTTAGGTTGTTTCGCACGGTTGTTATTACTGAATGATTACTCGACAGCGCGTAACGTACGTACACGCGTGATGGTAGATCGGACGGAAGGTCAAGTAGCCAAATTCCTCTTCGAAGAAACCCGGACGGAAATATTAAACTGGTAGGTGTATTCGACGTCCTATATTTAATCGCGCGCAATCACCTGGCTTTAGGTTAGCAGCAGCTCGACGACACTGTTGCCGGATCTAGGACAACTGACGACGAGAAATCCTACGTTGCCAGTGAAATATGCCCGACGCCAGTTTTTCGTACAAATCGCGAACGAGACACGATAAGCAACTGTTCGCTCGAACTGATCGACGTAATCTTTTATCATTTGCCACACTCAGGATCGACTTTCTGGTATCGTTACTCGTTTCAAAATATTTAGCGTTTCTTTCGCAATTTTCTTTGTCTATCTCTTTTTTTTCTTTTTCAAATATTATTTTCATTATTTTCATCTCGTATTTAATTCGCGTTCGACCGATCTCGCCATCTACCATGGCCAATTTTAAATTGCATTAAAAATCTCGGAAATAAAACGATTCGCGTGATAAAGTCAGTCGAGAAATTCGATAATTTCGATAACTAGTGAAATTAAAATGGCAAAGATGTCGCACGGATCGGGAAACGTGACATCCCTGTCACGTTAATAACGATACAAATTTTATCAAAGAAGCTCATTTATCTACGTTTATCTGTATCGTGTAACGTTACACTACTTGCTTGTTCCCAAACGCGTATCACTTCAATGCGTTGGTTCCGGGAGAGGTCGATACAATTTTGTAAACTTGTAAACCAAAGGGACAAGAGTGCCGTGGAGTTTAAAAAGGCTCGACCGAGTTGTCACGTGAATACGTTTTAACAAGCAGAGGACATCCAATTTACAGACATGCAAAGTGGGAGCTTCCGCGGAGGTAAGAAGCTCATACCATCAGACCAGAAGGTCACACGCACGAAACGCTCTTAATAAAATAAAAAAAGAAGAAGAAGAAAAAGGAAAAAAAATCGTGCACGTTTATCATGAATGGTTTGAGGTTATATTCGACGTAGTCGCATAGCTCGGCCAAAGAGGGAGCACAGTCAAACGGAGCGCCACGGCGCTACTTTCACGAAGCGAGAGCGAAATTCCTCATCTACGTTCTCTCTCTTTCTCTCTCGTCAGCTACACGCCCCGTCCACAAAGCGTTCACAATCGCTTCATGTCGCGATATGGACGAGACCAAGCCATCGAGGACAAAGAAACCGACAACGGGAACACCTTGCTTCCGGCGAAAAACCAATCGGCGTCATTGCGGAAACCGCACCGATTCACTTCTGTGTCGCAGCATTATACCGCAGAGATCGATAACCGATTCACTTTCCCCCGACTTGTTCGGTCTAATCGTAAGTGATCACGACACGGGGAACGAACGAAGTTTCTAGCACATTCTCGAGATACTTTGGAGACAAACACAAAACTTTGGGAAAGTTTGCGGCGGCTCGAAGCAATCACCTGTACCTTGGCATGCACGACAGAGAAACGAAGCCAAACGACGAAGGCAGAAAAAAGAAGAAAGACGAACGAACTCGTAGAAATAACGGTGGAAGAAGATAAGGAGGAAGTGACTCGCGAATTGACGTGAACTCGCGAAACGCAAATGGAAGGAAAAAGAAAAGAAAAAGAAGGTAAAATGCGAGGCAAAGAAATGCATAGGAAAGAAGAAGCGGAGCAACGAGTCGTCGCAGTCTTACCTATAATTAAAGTCTTTTGTACAATAAATACTTAAATAAATATACGGTCAGCGTATTTCCGTAGTCTCGCGTAAAATCGGGAGGGGGGCCGAAAACTGACTAGACTCTCGGTACTGCTAGTTCTCTCTCTCTGTGTTCTTTTTTTTTTCCTCTTTCTTCCGTCCGGGGGGGCAAAGAGCGAGAGCGTATTACGCGGAGAAACTACGCCGGGTCTTTTTCCTCAGTCACACTCAGTTACGCGGTACCACACATCCCTCAGTGACCACTCCCGCACAGTGACTGAGCCGGCAACGCTGCTCGTGGTGGGGACTCGGCGTGCCTCGTGCCCGGACTCGTCCGCGCTCGCTTATGCTCGGCCTACGTCGGTTTTCCTCGGTTTCCTTCGCGACCGAGCCGAAGTATTGATCGGTTTGCCCAGCATGGCTGGCTCGACGAGATTGGGTGGGGCAGTGGCGCACGGCTGTCCCTGTCCCGGGACGCCAGCCATGGAATATGATGTGTCGTATTGCGCTGCGTTACGCAGTTACGCAGTGCTGCGTGTTACATATTCTGTGTATATATATATATATATCTCACATATATACATCACACATTTCATGCATCTCTTTTATCTCTACATACGTTTTATATGATTGTCTCTTCTCCCTTTCTTTCTTTCTTTTCCACATATCCATTTGGTTTCTATAAATCAAACTTTGAATGCCTCTGCGAATCGAACTGTATATATATATATATATATATATTTCTTTTCTACAGTACGACTCTAGTCTTTTCTCGTACATTTTGCTTTTCCAAGTTAATTACTCCGTATACGCTTCTGAAATAGGTATTCCTTCCACCATCGTCTCGGATCGATAAAGAACCAAGATCGTTATGTGATATCGCTTCTTATGTGCACGCATCCGAAGCTTATGTGATAGTTCGACGGGGATCAATCAGACCACATTTCATTTCAACTAGGTGAATAAAAATGGTTAGATAGTAATAATCAAATTTGATTTTCATTTTCCTCAAACGACATTACTTTTGCTGTATGGTTTGCAATTTGTAGCTTAAACGCATAAACGTACGACCAATTGCTATCTATTAAACGGTAAAGTTTGGCTTGAAGCTTTTTCGTCGTATTTAAAATACTCCGACAAAATTTCCATAATGTCGCGTTACAAAAGAAGTTGAAGATGTTTATTAACAATGGACAAGCACGCGAATTGGCGTCCTGTGTGAAACGATTGCACACTGCGACGTGCATTGCTGGACATCCATACCTCAAATGTACAGATCTGCACTTTTCCCCATTTTCTGAAAATCCTCCTGGCAACGCGTCATTGTCCATGGCAAAAGCAACCGATCGATAAAGCGTTAAATTGAAAAAGCAAGGAAAGGAGAAGAAAAGAAAGAAGAGGAAAGAACAAGGAGAGGGGGGGAAGGAATTAGAAAAGGAGAATGCGTTTCGAAGGACACTTGGTTCGAAGGGGAACGTGTATCGACGAATACGCGATTGCTAAAGGAAAGTTGTAATTACGTGGAATACAATGGTTGTATTCCAAAAAGACGAGCGCAAGAACAGTTAGACAGTTTTTTTTGTCTCTTTCACTCTCTGGCTGGTTGGCGAAGCTAAAATGAAATATTGATCTGTAGAGGCGCGCGCAACCCCTGCAGCCGACCCGCCCTTCTTGGCCACCATTTTCCATTGCTCACCCCTGATCCGTCCTAATATCACTTTGTCTCTCTTTTTCTCTCTGCCGAGTCTTGTAGAAA